TATTATTTGTGGCTAACATCATCATCTGTAATACCTTTTTGGATTGCTCTTTTATTTATTCATTAATGATTAATATGTTTTGATCCTAAGAAAAAAACGAGGCAAACAGATATAAATCTTTGGTGTTGATGTTGTTGATTATTTTATTAGAGTATTCACTTTGCCTTTATCTATTCAATTCTATGCTTCTGTCTGTACCAAAATACATTTATATACCTTGTTATTAATTGCCAAATTAAATTTTTTGTACAACATTCGTTATAGTACATATCATACACGCTAAAATAATATTCTTAGGGATAGAGTTGGTGTTAAAAAAAATGGAGACACCGTGTGCGCACACGATGTCTCCGTGTGCACAGGGTGTCTCCACGTGCGCACACGGAGACACAGTGTCTGTCTCCGTACTCCATGTAGCACGGAGACGGACATTAAATTTTTTTTTTTATAACAATAACAATTTTTTCAACCAAGATATTTAAACAAGAGACGTGTATTTTTGTGTTGAGCATCAGCTTCATTTACAAGTTCAGAATGTTGGGTATTGTTTTTGGTCCAGTATAATTAATCTGCATCTTATGCCTATTGTTTGAGCTTATACCGATTCCAATTATTTTCTTTCACATATCACAGTTGATGTTTTCTAACGCTATGTTTTGATTTATGATTGGGAATAGTAGTCGGAGATTGACGTGGCTTCTGATTCTATGTCCTCTTTGGATCAGGTAAACTTGTTTTTGAAATGGCAAAATACCTAAAATTAATTTTTGGCATTGTAGTTTTTATTTCTCACTATCTGTTGAATTTGCACGTTCGGGTCTTATATACTTTCGTTTATGCTCTCAATTTACATTTTGCAATCATCTCGAGATAAATTAGCGAGGTACTATTTGTTTCCTCCGCGATAGCTTTATTTTCTTCCAAATTATTAACTTACTAGTAATAAATTATTTTGAGCTCAGGAACCTTATGTAGCCGCTTATGATTGATGCCAATTCTTTTCTTGCCAATTTTAGGTTTGTGAGAGAGACTGTTGCTGATAGCAACAACATTTCTGGTGGAGGCACAGCTAAAGTTGAATGATGAATATTGTAAGCTCCTCTTCAAATATTTAAATTTGGCCACTACGAACAAATTTAAGAAGAAATGGTGACGTACGACGTGACCATAGTGGTCATACTATGTTACAGAAAAACAAAACTTCTAAATGATCAAATCCCAATGTTTTTCGTATAAAAGGTCTATCCCACAGATGAAAATTGGGCGCTTACACAAATTGCATATTTTCCGTCTTTAAGTTTCATCTCTAATTATCATCAAGCATTAAATTTGTCTTCATTTTGTCTTATTCTATTCGAATATTGTATACTATATAACTATAAATCTAATGCAATTTGGATATCTAACAATCACTCCACACTATTAAATAGCCAACAAAATTCAAACACGTGCATTGCATGTGCGTCGCACGTTCATCAACTAGTATGTAATAATAAACGTGATTAGATGTTATTGTATCAGAAATGTTACAAAAAAAACTTATTACATTTATAATTCTACCCAAAAACCTGACATGGAAATTGAAAATTTAATCAAGAGAAATAGCAATTACAAGATACGATGGGATCAAATTAATGTTGGAAAACATTTGGGGCACATTTGATAAGCATATGATGTGCAAAAATAAAAGAAAAAATAAATAAGAATTTAATTTATTTTCTGGTTTAGTATTATTACATTTCACCTCCAGAACAAAATCATAAAAACATAATACTTTCTAAAAAAATAATTTTAAAAAAATATATTTGATAGATTATGTAATTTTAAAAATTAATTTAATTTACTTTTAAACACAACCAAATATACTAAGATATTAATCCTTTATTGACGAAAATAAAAGTGGGAATTACATA